GGCTGCGGAAAAATGGTGGCAAGCAAATGCGAAAAACCATTAAGCAGTGTGAGTGTGAAAAGAAGTAGTTCTGTTGGATGGCTGAGTTTTTTCCGCTCGCCGAGAAAGTCAGTGAGACTTGAAAAACAAAATGTAACAGTAGCCGTGGGCGGGGATGCCGTCTCATAGTTGGCAAACTGCGCGGCGGCTGCCGTAGAGCTGGAGGTTGGATGTTGCTGTAGTTAGCCAATGCGGTGTGAGAGGCTGTCGCGGGACCGTGAACGTTCCCGAGTGTGAATGGTAGTGTTGATGTGGGTGGCCCGGGTGGCTTGTGGTGGAGGGCCTGTCCAGTATGAGTGTAGGCGTTCTGCGTCTTGTGGTGGGGTACGTGGTGAAGGGGAGGGTGAACGGCTGGAAAGTAGGTGGTAGTGGAAACCTGGCGGTATGTTGTGGATAATGGCCAGGTTGCTGCTGGAGAGTGTGGCTGTGGGGTTGATGCGGTATTGTCCTGGGAGCCCGGGGCCGGTGGTAACAAATTGAAGGAGCCGACGAGCCTGGGAGAGGTTATCGATCAAGCGGTCCAGCAAGATCAGGTCACCGCGCAGTCGGTAAAGGAGGTTGTATGCTCTCTGGTCTTGAAAATAAGTCTGGCTTGGCATAGGTTGAGTGTGGAATGGGTGACGGCGGAGGTGTTGGTTGATCAGAACGAGGAGGTCCAAAGAGCCGTTGAGGGATTGAAAATCGGGCTGAGTGCTAATCGAAGGTTGGAGCCAGCTCGGAGGGCGCTGTGGGAGGTAGTGTTCTGTATCGGCAGGGTTGCTATGAGGGCGAGCGCGAGGATTGGCCATGACAATTGATGGAATAAAATGGCGTACAAAAGGCTGCGGAGCTGAAGTGAGCCTGAAAACTGACAAATCGAAGTTGGGCAACCTGGTGAAAGTAGATTGGATGTGAAAAACCAAATGGCAGTACGGGTCAGTGGATTTGTCCTGCGGCACGCCGTAAAGAAAGGTGGGTGAAACGGGTCAAATGAAATAACTGACCACGGGCGTAAGTGGAGATTTCTCCGGATGACTGTCTTCACTAAGGTCCCGCTCAGCAGCCGGCGGCAGCAGCACAGCAGCAGGACCCGTTGGATGTTGTGAAGTCGGTGGCGTTGTTATGGGGGAAGGGGAGAAATCCGGTTGTGAATGTGGTGCTGGGGAAACTGCTGGTGATGTGGGTGTTGGTGAGGGGGAAGGTGCTTGTCTTGGTGGTGCGGTTGGTAGTGGTGTGGAGAGGAGTTGCTGGTCCTGCTGACGTTGCATGTCTTTGAGTTCTTGCCATCGGGCTTGGCATTGCTCAACGGAGAAGCCCACTCGGCGAGCCACAGTGGTCCAGTTGGGACGAAGTTTGGGGTTTTCTTTGAGTTCGACCAGGCGACAGTCAGCGTCGCCGTCCCAAGCATTCCAGTCCGCCTGTCGGTTCAGTGGTGGTGGGGGTGGTTGCTTCCGCTTGCGTGTTGTGGTGGGTTGTGGATCTGGGGGTGTTGTTGGAGTGTCGTCTGAGTCTTTGGAGGATGGTGCTGGTAAACGGTTGGGTGGTCTGGATGGTGCTGAGTCACAGGATGAGGTGGTAGATGGTAAACGTATAGGGTGGTTGGGCGGAGTTGGAAGTGGCTGAAAGTGTTGGCGGAAAGTGGGGTCCGCTTGGTGGCAGTGGTGGAGGAAAACAGTGTGGAGGTGTGCTACAATATCTGTTGCTTGTCGGAGCAGGTTTTGCACCTGCGAAAGTGCCACTGCGGTTCTGTGTATGAGAGTTGAGGTGTCGTTTTGTAGAGGTGTCGGTGTGCTGCTCATGATTCTGAGATGTAGGGGTGTACAGTAGCTAAGAATCGTCACAGGTTGCTGCGGCAGCGCGCCAAAGCAGCCGGACAGCGGCGAGTCTGAGGGAGCGCGTCATCACGAGGCCGTGCATATGAATTAAACGAGCATCAAATTCCCACAGGCAAAAGAGCGAATATGCAATGCCGGTTGGACAATCAAGTACATGAGAATCTGACATGTGAAATACTCCATCAAAACAGCCGGTACAATTCGAAGAAAGATGTTTACAGTAAACACTGCGGAGCTTGAAAAATTGAGGGTTCAAAAGTCGCGTGGCCGCTGCAGGAGGCTCTTTTTTGCTGCTACAGCAAAGGTTGGGTGGTGGTGTGAGACCAAAAGTGGATGTGGAGGTGGTAGTGGTGTGTAGATGTGTGGTAGTGGTGTTATGGGTCCGGTGGAGTGGAGTTGGTGGACCAGGCCAGTCCTTTGACAATGGCGTGGTCCGGGTGGATCACCCAGCAGCGGCCCTTCTGATGAAAGACTGCACCATGGTGGTCGTTAAGGAGGTTCATGGCGTGTTCCTCACCTCCAGAGGTATATTTTGTGGCAGCACCCCAAGCAAGGAGTGTGATGATAAGGGAATGGGAATTCTTGTGGAGTTGCCAGGTGTTGTGGATGATGCGGGCAAGTTCGTTGTGGTCATGGGGTTGGTTGTGGGTGATGCGAACGCCCTGGGCAAAAAATCCAGGGTAGTTGGCAAAGTGGAGTGTGCTGGGTAGAAATCGGCCTTGGCGTAGAATGTTGGAAATGTTGCCGACGGGGCCTGTGTGGCCTGCGTTGATGTGGGCGACTTCCCGGTGGGTTGATGTGGCGCGGGAAACCGCAGGTGGCTCTGGTGTAGTGGCTTTGGTGTTGAGGAAGGGAAGTGAAATGGCGTAGTACTGGAATTGGTCGTATTGGTGAGTTGTGTCGTTCCACTTGGCGTGGGTATATTGTCGGAAATCGGTGATCTCCTTGTAGGTGATGTTGCAGTCTGTGAGGATATTGGCAATGTACTGGTGTTGTGGTCGGTTGGGATTGTCGAGTTGGGTGGCGTGGAATTCGAGCCATTCCAGGATTTGGTCTGCAGGTGTAAAGGTGTGAAAGTTGGGTGGAGGTCGCCAACGGTTGATTGGGCGACGGAGGACGGCTGTGGTGGGAAATTGAGAGGGGTCTGGGTTGGAGTGTTCGGTGTTAGGGCGTAGATCAATGGGTTGTGGTGGCGAGCGACTGCGGGATGGCGTAAGGCTGGATGTGTAAGTGGATGTTGAAGGCGACCGCCGTCGCCGGGTTGTGCTGTGATGTTTGGAGTGGCGGTGATGGTGATGTCAGCGGCGGTGGCGGTGGCGTCCTCTGTGGTGATGGTCGGACTTGCGTCGGCTCTTGTGGTGGTGGCGGCGACTGCTGTGTGGTGGTTGCGGGGAAGGTGGTTGCGGTGCTGGTGAGGCAGTGGTGTCAGGTTTGTCTGGTGCTGGTAGTGAAGATCCAGGCGCTGGTGTGGCAGATACCAGCGATGGGGATGCTGAATGTTGGGATACGGTAGCTGGTGGGGGCGTGTTTTGGACTGGTAATGGATTGTCCTGGGCAGTCGTAGGGATGGATTGGATTGGTGGTGTTGGATCCGATGGTGGCTGCTGTTGAAGTGGAGGTTGGGCTGGTGTTGAGGCGTTTATGGTTTGTGGAGGCGGTGGCGGGGGCAACGGTTGGAGTGGAGGCTGTGTGACGGGGGGAAAGGCTGAATAGGGTTGCCAAACGCCCTGGGGGATGGCGCATTGGGGGTCTGTGGATGGATGATTGGCAATCGCAGCCTGTTGCTGTGTTGGAGGGGGATGTGTCAGTGTAGTGGGGGGAGGGAGTTCAGCCGGTGGTGTGGGATAATGTGGTGGCAACTGGTAGGAAGGGGGAGGTGCTGCTGTCGGAAATACTGGAGTTGGATGTGTGGGCTGCGGTGGCACGTGACATGGTTGGACAAAAGTCCAAGTGGATGGTGTGCCGTAGGTCAGTGCAGTGGCGGTAGGGTTGGACAAAAACGGCGGTGGTTGAAATGGTTGTGGTTGTGGGTGAGGGTATGCCGATGGTTGTGTCGGGGGAAAAATGGGTGCAGTTGATGGTTGTGGCATCGGCCATGTGGGTTGAGGTTGTGTGGTAGGTAATGGTGGTGGCGTGGTGTGAGCGTAGGGCCACGGAAAATGCATGTCGTGGTCGTAGCTATGGCGCGGCGCGGAGCGGTAGCAAAAAGCAGCGGGGAAGTGCCGAGTTGTATTGTCTTGTTGTTGTTGAAGGTGTCATCTCTGGTGTCAATGGTGAGTATGTTGTAAGGTGGTGCTAGATGTGAGCTTGTTGGTAGGTGTGTGTTCATGCATCTCGAATTAAGCTGAAGAGCTGTAATGCCCATCCTTGAGTTCTGTCGAGAAAAGAATCGCGGCAGCAACATAGCAAATATAGAAGCACGCACATGATTGGAAGACATGAAAAGAAAACGCTGAAATCTGAGATCTGGAAGTTGGAATCTGAAACTTTCTTCAAGAACCGTTTTTCGGCCCGGCGGCCGGTGTGGCGGTTGATTCTGTGAGGGTGTCGGTGCCTTCCTGTGAGAGTCCAGTGAGCGGTGGTGCGTTGGGGTGGTTGCTTTCCCATGCAAGATCGGCGCCCCTGTGACGGGGATCACACTCAGCACCCGAGTGGGACGGCTGAGCAGGACACACTTCGAACTTGGGTTCTTCAGTTAACGCAAGTCACGTTGGGAAGGAAGGTGAGAGAACAGAAAGGTGCATGAGTCCGAGCACTTGAAAGGTTTAACATTGTTGTCACAAAGGCGGCAGCAAGCAAACCGGCGGCGCAGCTGCTGGGGACGAATAGGTTTGTGGGAAGTATCATGCAAACGACCATGAATCAAAAAAAGGAAAATTGGAGTAACAGCTTGTGGAGAAACGAGCAGGTACACAGGGATGATCAGTCCCTGCTTCCCCTTCTTGTCCATAGCTTCATTGCGTGTGGTAGGACAAGAAGGCCACACGCCCCTGCCTGTGTAAAATGGAAAGGGTGGTGGTGAAAGACCCTTTGTCCAGGGTGGGACACACACACACAACAGACACACACACACGTTTGCTGCACGGGTCTTTCAAATCTTTTCAAAAGGTCCATCCTGATCCTGTCTTTCATGAACCCTGACGGCAGTTCAACGAGCATGTTTTGCCCACCGACTGCGAGTGCTTTATATTGGTGTGCTCTGATGGAGTTTGGGATGCACTTTGGCGGCAATGATCGCAGAAGCACATGAATTTGCCAACCAGAGCTCACAGGCAACTCAAAATACAAATGAACGGAGAGTGACAAGGAAGAGTACCTGTGTCAGACATGTGACACTCCATTGATTCTAGTGATTGAGGTGATACCTCCAATACAAGCGGTGAACATGATTGGGAAGTATCCACCCGAAGAGGCGAGGCAGGACTGGAACAACTGAAGATCATTGCTCAAGGCCGCATTCTTGCATGTTATGACATCGACCAATGCTGAAACTGATATGCCAATTAAAAACTCAATGTTCGAAACAGTTTTTGCGGACGAGGCTCAGAGTGCAGTAGAGTCCAGCACCTAGTACTCACAGCACAGGCTTGGCAAAATTGACTTACAGAGACAGAAAGAGCTTTCGAAGCTCGTGATTGAGGAAACTTGTAAGCAAAGCCCAACTGCGGTGGCAAGAAAAGGGCGAGATAGTTGACGTGCTCCTTGCGAAGTGTTGATCATATTTGACGGGGTGCCAAGAACTTGCCGCGCCTCCGGGGAGCTTTTCTGTGATTGTCGGATATTGTCAGATGATTTACAATGAACGAGCATGAAAAGACGACCTATTGTAGGTGTGCCTACAAAGACATCCAGCCAACATAGATGTACACCTCGTATCAATGAATGCGTGTACATATTCCCTTCTTCGTGCGCCGATTCAGACTCTGTGCGTGCCAGGACATCACTGCATTGGTACTTTTCCCGATCTCTGATTATGATGATGGTACTTGCACCAACAGTGATGCATTGTTGGCAAGTCAGGTCCGCTAAAAGGGAGAGTCTCTGACAATTGATGATTCACAGCGACAACGTTGCATTATTTCAAAAGGAAGGAGAGACTGCTCTGGTTTGAGCCTGCTTAAAGAGGAATATAGGAGAGCTGTATATATGAGCGTCGTTCAAAAACCCACCTCTTCCTTGTTAGTGATCGAATTTCAAAGGCTGATTTCGAGTGTGCTCTCACTGCAGTCGCGAAAGGTTCGCGAAGGTCCTGCGAAAGGTCTGCGCAAGTCATGTTGGTGACCTGGCCACGCTGCAAGAACAATTGCTCTTCAGACTTCCGATTGCTTTTTCCCGGGTTGGGAAAAAGCAAATTGGAAATCTGAAACAATTTTGCTTTTTCCCGGGCCGGGAAAAAGCAAATTGGAAGTCTGAGCCTTTTTGCTTTTTCCAGGCCTGGGAAAAAGCAAATTGGAAGTCTGAACCATTTTGCTTTTTCCCGGCCCTGGAAAAAGCAAATTGGAAGTCTGAGCAAACTGGCCTGACTGAGCCGT